AGGCATTTGATAAAAGTTTCCATGGAACTTGCAGCAAAATACTGACAGCTCAGAAACCGGTTGAGTGGCAGGCGACAGAAAGTCAGGATGATGGGTGGGCAATCAAACTAACACGACGTGAACAGTGGTATCCCACAAGGATCTATGTTCGGGCCTCAATTAATCCGATTTATTAACAACTCTGATACAGCATAGAAAATCATATATCCAAATTTGCTGGTGATGCAAAGTTAGGCAGCGTTGTAATTTTGTGCTATCAACTTCAAAAGGATATTGTTAGACTGAAATGAATGGGCAAAATTGTGGCAGATGGAGTTCAAAAGAAGCAAGTGTGAGGTTATCCATATTTGGACTCAAAAGAATAGATCAGGGTACTTTCTGGATTTAATTGTACATCTAGAAAGTAGGTTAAATATAGTGGATGGGTTCAGGTGCATAGGTCTTTAAAATATCATCAACAGGTACAGAAAATAATCAAGCAAGTTAATAGAATGCTGGCCTTTATATTCTAGAGACTGGACTACACGTGTGCAGAAATTATACAAAACCCCAGTTAGACCCCCACTTGGAGTACTGTGGGCAGATCTGTGCACCACACCTTAGGAAAGATACAGTGGCCTTGGAGGGAGTACAATGTAGGTTTACAAGAATGATACCTGGGCTTCAGGGGTTATGAGGAGAGATTAGACAAATTAGGCCTGTTTTCTCTAGAATTTAAAAGATGTTCTCATCAAAGTCTTCAAGAAATTAAACAGGAAAAGACAGGGTAGATAAAGATAAACTATTTGCACTGGTTGGGGATTCTAGAACTAGGGGGCATAGGCTAAGAATTAGGGTCAGACCATCCAGGAGAGATGTTATGAAACACTTCTACACACACCGCGTGAGGGGGGTTTGGAGCACTCTGGTTCAGTTACTTGATTTTAAATCTTAGATTTTTATTAACAAAAAGGTATTAACGGATACAGGCTAAAAGACAGGCATATGGAGTTAGGCCACAGATCAGCCATGATTTCACTAAATGCAGAACATGCTCAAGGGGCTGAATGACCTACTCCTGTTCCTGCGTAAAACTGTTAGTATTTATGACCAGGAGAGTAAATATTGAGGGGCCATTAACTTGTTTGTATTTTAGCATTGATTTTAGCTTAAGAAACCATCAGAAGCTTGAGGATTTTGAGAGAGAGACCCAACTGGGGTCAGAAGCACGATATTCTTCCATTCCAAGAAAGGAGGACAGAACAGTTCAAGAAATAAGTTACTTTAGTAGACAGTTTGCGCAACTTCCAGTCCAGAAGTGTAGTTAGAAATCTGCAGATTATTAAAAGACTGAGAAAGTTGAAGCTTTCAGTTTTGTGCCCATTCATGCAAGGTGATTCCCCTCATCCTTCCAGTGATCTGGGAAGAAGCAGCTGAGTTTAACCTAAAGATTCAAGATTGAGGGTAATCTTTCTTGATTTGATGCTGTAAAGTGATGAACTTGGGGAAATAGATGAGACTTACTTTGAAAGATCTTAAAACACACCACAAAGGGCAACTAGGAATGGTCAATAAGTACTTGCCCAGCCAGTGATAACCACATTTCATGATTTTCTTTTTAAAAGAACTTGTTCTATATTTAGACTGCTTGGCTTGTTTTCTCCCTTTGTGTAATAAACTTTTATTGTTAAGCATGTTAGGCTGCAGGTTTCCTTTATGTTTCAGTGAACGACTATGTTCAATTTAAAAAAATGATTTATCAAGCCTGATTTTGTTTTGGGAATCAGCTCAGGATCATAAGCAATAATCATAAAACTATTATCATAAAAACCCATCTGGTACACATGTCCTTGCGAATCTAGACCCACTGTAATATGGTTGACTACTAACTGCTTTCGAAGAGTAATTTGAAATTTCAAGCAAATGTTGACCCAGCCAATGATGCCCACATCATAGGAATAAATGAAAAACACGGAAGATATGAAGATAAACTGCACAGTTTTGGATGAGAGTCATATGGAGAGCAGAGTAAGTAGCACATTCTCCAAAGGACATTACAGAACCAGTTGTTAATCTTGTAACCCACAAATTTCCTGATTTAATGAACTTGCACAACTTTCGCAATGAGATTTTAACTCAACCTACAGCTCTTATGACTAAAGCCAAAATTGCTGGCGTAACTCAGTAGGTTTGGCAACATCTGTGGGAAGAAAGCAGAGTTAACATTTCAAGTCCATTGACTCATCAGAACATTGGTTTGATAATTTTTGTTCAACTAATATGGGAAGTGGGCAAGAAAGTGAAGTGGAAGAGCAGCCGCAATCACATTGAATGCAGAACAGGTTAGACAACCAGATGGTTTACTCCTTTTTCAGTGTCTTATGTTGCTGGTCCAGGACTGTACCCCAAACACTACCGATCACTTTGGTTTGGACATCCTGTCTGACTTCTAACTGAGCAAAAGTAACTATCCCAAAACCTGTACATCATACAGGAAATCCAGACAATTTGCAAGGTCACTCTTCATGTTAAAGCATTCAATTCATTCACCAAGGAGAGCACAGTCTATGCATGAGGGCTGGAACTAATTGAATATTCACATATGAATTACTGTATTTTTAAGGAACATAAGCCGTGCTAAGGTCTTTCTTTTTCCTGTTAAGTCAATAAATACTTCAGTATTTAAAGCAGGGACTACAACTACAATACTGCTTTGATTAGCTACATATCTAAATGCAAGTGTGAATGGTTCAGTAATCAATTAAAATCTTGTTTGCCCAGTGTTGATTTTAGTCAAGGCCAATGAGCTTCAGTGCAAGGGCAAAGTATTAGAAACTATTCCAAGTGAGATGATGGATAGTGAGAGTTTAACCAGGCAAAGACTTGTAAATCAACAATTCCAATGAAACCAAGAGGGAGAATTCCAGTCTCTAGTCATAGTCAATTTTCATTAACAAGCCAAACTTGCTGGGGAATGATCAACAGTGCTCTGACAACTAACTACGCCAAGCACATTAGAATCAAGACATTCACAATTTACACACTCCATTTGTTGTGTCATCATGGGAAACACTAAGCAGAAGCCAGGGAAGCTCAGTCTCTTTAATCCGCATCGTACTTCTGGTCACTTCTATTGCTGTAACATTAGTGAAGAGCTGAACCGTTTTTAAAAATATTGCACATTTTTAGTCACAATGTACTTTCCATTGCTACTGCACCGCCCCCCCCACCCCCAACCGACAAATCTACAATTCCCTGGTCTATTATGCATCTCCTCCCTAGTCCAGCCCCTCCAGTTCCCTTTTACCCCAACACTGGTGAGTGTTTGGACATTTATATTAAATGGTGCTATATAAATACACATTCGCAGCCATCTAAGCCAATCCACAACCCTCAAATAATTTTACCCCAGGACATGCCCTGCTGCATTGGAACTTATTTTGTGTTGCTATCCATGTTTTGTCCAATTATTGTATGACAGTTTTTGTCAAAGGCGCATTTTGAAATGCAAGTTACAGCTGAATATAGTACTCGTCAGTAAGGAAATGGGAATACGAAAGAACGTAATAATTTTAACTGCACAAGAGTCAAATTATACATATATAGTTGTATAACAGTCTCTACATGCACCTTTTAAGGGATAGGCCCGAGATTAGGGATTATGTACAATAATCATTTAGCAAAAGATAGACTGCTCATCTTGTATAATCACCAAACAATATACATTTGCAGATGTACTGTGTACCCAAATTTGGTCAGATTTTGAGAAAAGCACATACAAAGTCCACAGAAGTACAATCTTTGTCCAATGCTCAACCAGTTAATAAATCTCCAGGACCTGCATCTTTGTAAGTTTTGGCCAGAAGCTAAACTGATACCAAAGCTGAAAACACTAATGCTCCTAGCTTGTCATGAATGATCTGCAAATGTTCCCAAGCTAACTTCATTGCAAAACATCAAGTGATTTTGGAACATAAGATCACTGCTTTCCCTAACCAGACCTATGACTGACTTGTATGATCTTTATTGTATTCAACAGGGGATTTTTCTGTAGTTCAGACATTTTGTAAATGTTGTGGTCATCATTAGGAAAGCAGGACCTTGGGGTGAAGTTTAAAAGCTTTTCTTTTAAGATTTCTTTCTACCATTTACAAATCTCAGTCCTGGGATTCTATTCACCACCTACTGTATGGCAAGTCCAGGTCTCCAACACGGTACAATGATTGGCTCATGTACATCTGGACCCAGTTGATATTCCTGCTGAACATTCTTGTGCAAGTATTATCAATACAAGACCCAGTTTGGTTCAGAACACCGGAATCACTTTATCACAGCAGAATGCCTCAGTGATACCCCCATACTGTGAATAAATAAATAAATGGTGGGTCAATGAGCTTCTTTACTCAATGTCACCCCTCTTCCCCCCATGACAGGCCATCTTGGATAGATTCATTCCTCCACAGACCAAAGCTTCTGAAGCCAACTGTAAGTTGCCCAATATGGCACCCTAAGACTTCTGCAATGCTTGGTTCAATTTCACACACACTGCTGCCAGTTGTGGAGCAGTTTGAGTAACTGACCATCACAGTCTCAGAGCAAACAAAACCAGGTTCATTGTAAATCTGCAAAGATTCTAATCACTTAAAGAGTGCTAACTCTGGTTGGGCATATCCCTGGAGAATTTGATATGTCCCACACCATCACCACTGGTCACTCAACATACCAACTGTTGCAATCCCAAGCCTTCATCAACAAGTCAATCAGAAATGGAATACTCATTACCCAATGTGACCATTCTTTACCAAACAGCCTCTTTCCCATAGGTTTATAGTTATGTTGCAAAAAGTGACGAAAAGAACTTTTAAAAATGCCCACTTTGTTTTCTTTTCCCCAAGTGTCATTCCCAGCAGTGCCCTGGAGACTAATAATCAATTCTGCAGACGCCAGGAGGATTAGAAACCCCAAACGTATGATGCAATTCAGCTCCAAAATGTGTAAAAAAAAAACACAAGACACCAGAGTTAATGCTTAGCAGCCAAACACAACATGTTTATTCTTTTTTTTTTCTCAAGAAAAATTATGTAGTCCACTGAAGCAACTGTGTTGCACAATTACAATCACATCTTTAAAACAAACCACGGATAAAAGCAAATTTCAAAATTCTTTATATATATACCTATTAGAACAACTTTTTGTTTTTCAGTTTCAATGAAATGACAGACTTTAATATCTTGCTCTGATATATAAAAGAAATTCACCCTTATTATTCCAGCGATGGGGATACAGTACCAGCTATGGCCATACCAAGAAATGGAAACTCTCCAGCTTATTTGTACAAACTACATAGAGCAACACAATTTGTTAATGAACCAGTGATTTTGTTTTTTCTTTCTTATTAAGTACCTATCCTGGTTACAGAATGCATAGTTCTCAGATTTTCTTTTTTTCTAATTAAAAGGCAATGGCTCCCACTAATGGGATGTTCTTCTCTCCCCACCTCCCCCCCCCCCCCCCCCCCTCCAGCTGTGGTTAAAAAGTCAGTATCCTTTTAAACAAATTTTTGCAGGTCATTTTTTGTTTTAAATGATGAAATACATTCATTTTCTTCAATGCATGCTAGTCTTGTCTCTCTTTTCCCCTATTGTTATAATTTATTTATAGATTATTGCGTTGTCACTGGGATTGCAGTAAACCTTGGCCACTCGAACTGTGAAAGCAACATCTAGCTGTACAATTCTAGATTCTGCCTTTCCAAATGTAGAACAGTGTTCATACAACCAGATTTGTATAATACTGGGGTGACATTTAGTATTTGCTATTCCTGATCAATGCTGATAGTGATGGGAGCAATTTTAAGTGATGAATTAAGAGCATCATAAAGTGTATTTGCTTAAGTACAATTTAGTTTTCCTATAGTGTATTGGCACCAATACGCTAAGTAATCCTAGTGACAACAGTGCATTTTATACATACATATATAAATCACACACACATATATATATATATATATATATATAAAAATCTTTCCTTCCGAAATCTTTCACACCCATTTCCCTGCAAAATTACACACCATCACAAAACCTACCTTCAACCCAGAGGAAAAGCTGTTTGTACGACAAGATATTTTTGCACAAAGCCCTGTCAACCACTGTGCCAGGCAGGGCAGGTGTGTTCACAGAACAGCAAATGGCATCCAGTTCATCCTTCACTCCTACCAAACCCCAGCACCAAAACCCCCCCCCCCGCCCCCCCCCCCTCCCCACAAAGATGGATTATTGAGTTACCCATGGCAACCCATTGTGTGGACTGGCTCAAAATGATTTGAGAACTTCTCACCCAGCACTGACAGATCAGTTGAGGCCATTGGCAGTTTCAAAGTCACTGCCACCCTGCCTGGGGAGCCAGGCATCCCACTGTGTGCTACAGGTTTGCCATGCCAAAATTTAACAATACAAGAAGCGACAATCTGATAGCACCAATACTGAACTGGTACCGGGGCAGGCACGGTAGGAAGTCAGATATCCAAATAACAAACAGACCAATTATCCTGAACACCTAGTTCCATATATTTTTTTTCTTCAAAACCTATCAAAATACGCACATGCTTAATGTAAGACATATCAGCAAAATCCTCTGCAAATGTTCTAAATTGCTTATCATATAACATTAGGATTCATTTATAAAAACTGAATTCGAGAAATCCTTGGAACCACAGAACTTAAGTTTTTTATATATATATATACACACACACATATATATATATATATATATATATATATAATTCACAGTACTTTCAGAATAAGTTTTTTTAAAATCTTCTTTTCCTTCTCGGTTGCCAAATTCTACCCTAGACGAGTGATAACATTGTAAAGGTTTATATACAGGTCACTTATCTGAACTGACTGCAACTGAAAAAAAATTCAACTTCTCCTGAGCAGTTCTGATATGCTGCCTCCTTACTGCACTGTGTGTGACTGCTGCACCAATATCCAACTAAGGTGGGAATCCCAGGCAAGACCATTCTGCAACTTTCACTTAGAGGGGAGGGAGCCTACTTAACTCCCCGCCATATAGTCCAGTTTCATTGATAATCTTTTATCCCAGTTTATGAGGCAACAAATGTTCCATGGTAACAAACACCCTGTAAACTCCAACAAAGAAGTGTTTTTGTTAAATGTCATCATGGTGCAGCAACATATTTTTTTAAAAATCACTCTGCGAGTCACAGCAATTGAATCAGGCAAGTGTAAACAGTGTAATTCAACCTCCTCCCTCATGCCTCCCCTCCCCCCCAGCATCCACAATGCTTTTTTTAATGCCTCTATGTACAACACAGAACAACGCAATGGGTCATGCAAGATACAGCCCATTTCGTACACAAAATTAACGTGCAAGAGAGAGGCAAGACTGGTGTCGGTGGGGCAAGAGAAGACTGGGGCAGGGGAGGATGAGGCAAGGGTGACTTCATCAGATCAACCGGTCTTAAATCAATCCAAATATCATGTAAACAAAAAAAGGTACTATGACGCAGTGAAGCAGAGAGAAGAGGAAACAAAGTATGGGAACAGACCGCTACATCTTCGGGGTGGCACAAACAGTCGCAGATGGAGAGGCTGAAGGTCCTCGCACACTATTGTCAGCACATTGTCAAAATAACACACACTCATAACCAAAGTTAACCCAATTTAACATGGGTTAACAACAGAATTGAAACTGCATGCGTGGGCACGCATCACACACACACACATACATACACACAGAGGAATTTCATTTTCTATATTTGGTGCTGAGCTGGTGAACTTAAAAGATACATCAGACAAAAACTTTACAAAAAACAATTTTACAACAGTCCTTCTCTCAGGCGTGATCCAAGTCAGAGAGAAAGACAAATACCAACTCAAAAGTACAACAAGCACCCATCCTACAATTGACAGTTTAAACTGTCACAATGGGAAAAAGTGAAATTGCAAGGAGCAAGGTACACATCACATGCAATTAAAACGGAATTTTTTTTTTACAAGTTTGAGTCACCTCTCTGCTTTAATAAAATCCTTAATACTTAACACAAAAAAACTCTTCCTTAATATACACTAAAGACATTGTGCAATATAATACACTTGTAGATCAATGAAATTTAAAGTTTTGTTTTTAGAAAACGATACTGCTTTAAAAGAAAATTCCAAAGCAAAGCTAATTGTTGACTCTGAAAAAGGGAGATTGTTCAATGAAGGCGTGGCTATTAGGCCCTCAGATGCTGATACATTAAAAGATGTTCTTGGGAAGGGGAGCTGAAGGACAGTCAAGGCAGATGGCAACGTTTTTTTTTAAAACAACTTTCCACACAACTCCAACAATGTTATCAAAATTCTCATTTGTGTTTTGTTTGTCAAAAAGTAAACTAACAATGAATATACCTCATTCTGAGAAAAATATTCTGACAGGACACAGCTATGACCTGGATAATTGTCTTTAGCAGGTTAGCAACCAATCAACAATTCTCAGTCACAACTACTGATTCATTTTCGTAAGACATACACTTGTTCAAAAGGCAGAAATTCTCATTACAAATCTACCAAAGTGCAATTTCTTTGAAAATCCAAAATGGTCAAAGTCAGAAACAAACCAAGGAATCAGGCTGCACTATGGCACTGTTCCCATTAGAAAGATGCGGTATCTGATCCCCAATAAAACTTCAAATACTCTAACTTAGTTAGATCTTGAGCTTTCTCTCTTTCTCCCTCCCCAACACACATTAAAAAGGAACCAACCAATCTAAAAGCTATAGATACAATTGACACTACAACCCATTACAAAAGTGCACACACATTAACTGAAATACTTATTAACTGTGCAATCAAACTCACAGCAGCACATTGCATTCACCTCTAAGGCTTGGCACAGCCCAGGTGCCTACCAGGATGGTAACCATGCAGTTCATAACATTGGCTCTCTGAGTAACATTCTCCTTGCCAGTTACTTCCACATTCCAGTCAATGCCATCCCAACAGCCTATGCAAACAGAAACGATGAATCATGACCAGTCAACTGCCAGAGTGCTTTTGGAGCCCTCCTCTTTTTATTTTAGAGATTGGAATGGGACTCAACTCCATTTAGGGACCTAACCCCTCCACCAACAGTACTGTTATTTGATATCAAGGCAGCAAAACTACCTTCTTTAAATGGGAAATAAATACAACTTGTGAATGCTTGCATTGTGGCCCTACACCATTTAATAATCAATAAATACGACATAAAAAGGAAAATGCTAAAACTGTACTTTATCAAAATGCAGTTCAGGGAATATAATCTGCCGGATCGATAAGACAAAAACAAGAAACTAAGGTGCTGAATGCCGTTTGAAGGCACACCTATATTTTAAATTGGTCCAATTCAAAGTTTATGGGTCTCCAAGGGAAGTCAAATGCAAGGTGAATGAGGGTCCAAGGACCCTTTAAAGTCAGTCAGTAACATGCATTGGGATCATTTGAAAAGTTGGGACATTTAAATCAGTGATGCAGAATTAGCATTTATTTTTTATTACCTACTTTCGGGGAAATGGAAAGCTTGCAGCAAAAGATCTGCCCAAAAAGTGCTCAGCAATCAAGTGTGTGTAATTTTGGACTTTAGTTGTTTCTTATTAAAGTCAGATACAAAGCCCCAGTGAGAAAGTTACTGCACCAGTGTCAGGATGGTAACAGAGGAGCTGGGACACCAAAGGAGGGCAAAAAGTGAATCATGGGACGAAGAACAAGAGAATTGCATTCAAACATAAAAAATAAAATTTGATGGAAACTGTAAAGCAAAGCCACATTAGAAAATAAAACAGGTTTGCAAAGTAGAAAATAACTTTAAAATAGGGCAAGATGATAGCTACATTGTAAATATGGGTGCTACACTCTGTTGAAAAGCTAATTACTGTGATACAAGCCAAATTTATGATGTACTTCAATTTCTTATGGAGACATCACACTGGATTTTTCCACTCCTGAATTTCTCCCATGGCCCTTGTGTCCTGGAGGTTCTTCCACATTCAAAGATCTGAGAAAGGCAAGAAGCTCATTGTGTCTCATTTTCTAACAGTCGGATATCTCTCATCTTCCAATAAACATGGTCATTGCTTAAGGTTCTATGAGCTGAGGTTACAGGTATCAGATTTGGAAAAAAAAACACCCCTCATACCCCATTTTTAATGCACCTGTCAGTAACCAGTATTCCAGGGTCACGGCGCAGTGGTCTGCATAGATTGAAGCAATTTTCTTGATGAAATGGTGGGATTTCTCCTCCATTCCCAAACACATGCAATCAATCTGGGATTCAGCACAACTCAAGAATGAGGTTAAGCTACAGAAAAAATTACCAGAATACAAAAGAATTTACAGGATTCTTGCAAAGAGCATAAATAGGATAAAAAGAAGCCTGGAAATGTGTAGCAGATTTCGAATTTAGTTTATATTTGAAAAAAATGATGCATTTTTAGTTTCTGAAATATTGAAATATTCACCTCTCTTTCAAGTTGCCAATGGATCACCTGAATTTTTGTCATACCTTCTTTCCCAAGTGATTTCCAGCCCTTACATGCTTTCTTAATCTTTCTTTAACAAAATGGACCTCTGCCTGGCTCCCACAAACCACACATAGACCACCAGCATATGTTTGTTCAAACAATTTGATTACCCCATCTTAAGATGCTTTGTATAGCTGTAAATCTTGTTTCTCCTGGGACTGGTACTGGACATATCTGCAAGATCACTATGGTTATCAACAGGATTCAAACCTACTACAGTTGGTAAAATCTGTGCACAAGGGGTACAGCAATTCATATGGTCAAACTCCAGTACACTACAAGCATAACCAATGGTTAGTGTTGCATTAATTCAAGATGGCTTTAAAACACAATTACTTATTTCCCACTAGAGACTGCCAAAGAGACTTGCACCCAGTCAGGAACACCGCTCACCTCGCACCACACTTCCTCACACCAGATGTCCATTATACCAACTATTTAATGATACTTATCAATTCGTAAGAACTAATTTTATTTTAAGTAAATAAAATCTTTGCAACAGAAGATTCAAATAATTGAGGGAGGTACTTCCCAGACATCGTTCATGAAGTTAAGGGGATATCCTGAACAGATGTTGCTATTCTGCAAAGTGGCATAAAATTACTGCACAATACATCTGTATATTTTCTTTAAATTCCCACAGTGAAGGAGGACTCTAGGTTGGCTCCTACTTCTGCATTTGCCAAACAAGAGTTTTGGACCAAAGTGAAATATTAGGAGAATTACAGGCATTTGTGGAAAGTCCCAGAACTCAGCTGCTGAAAGGCCCTGTCTTAGTTGGTGCGATTCAACATTAACCAGTGGCAGTAAATAAAGCAGCAGCAACAGCACAACAGAGTCGAGGCCCACAAATCAGAACTAACAACCCTCCCACTAAACTCTCTGAAGTCCCACCTTTCTAAAACACTGCAGGCATGGAAAAAAAAAAGTGACTAAACAGCCTGAAAAACTACTTTGAGCTCTTTTGACCAAATCCTGTGAATATCATAGGAAATGGCCCTGTCAAGATGGAACGAATCAAACCGTTGAGGGGAATGGGATAGATGAGAAAAACATTGTGCTTATTTTAGAATTGTCCTGCTTACTTTCATTAATATTATGCCTGAAAATAACACTTCTTAGCCATTTTCCTCGGAAGCTTGATATGGACCTGTGTATGTATGCATAGAACACTGAATGCCCTGCTGTCTGGTCCCAAACCCAGAGTGGTTCATAACCAGCTTGCCTGAAGATTCAGACAAGAAAGCAATTGATGCAAGCAGCCTCGAGCGGACGTTTACACTCAACCAGAGTCCAATACTTTAACAAAATTGTCAAGTTAGCAAATGAACCTTGGCATGTTGAGAAAGAAATGGTAGGACAATAAATATCGTATTAGGTCAACACCCCAGTTCTGCCACATCCCACCCTACCGCATGACAAGAATTACTTTTGCCAGATCAGGCAGAATACATAACTTTTTGTGGAAGCATACTGCTCATAACCCAAATATTCTTACAGGACTGCAATGAGGTATTACCATTTAAGTAGATTTCTAGTTATTAGACAGAATTGGAACTGGTGCAACAAACAGACTGAAAAATCTAAATCTCAAAGTCGGACATTAGCTTTTTATTCCCTCTTTATTTAAAAAAAAACATTTCGGGAACTGGCTTTTCCCCTAAAAATTCCTGAGAACTTTAAATTTTAGGAGGAAAAAGATTATAGAAGCAGAACAAAATAAAAATGCTAACTAAATTAAAAACAAAACACTGTCAAATGCTCCCAGAGTTACTCATCTAAAAATATAAAACACATATTTTTGGTCTTTTTAATCCTGTTTTGATGGAAGAACGGTTCAACTTTTTTTGATTTCTGACTTTTCTATGCCTTGGAAAAAGAATTTATAGGACTGTGCCAACAATATTTGGAATCAAGACTTTGTTTTATAAAAAAATCAGATATCAGTACAGTTCTCTTGAATCGCGTGGCTTCTACAAGTTTAACTTCTCCAGACAACATGTGAACAAAGTGCGATGGATAGTGAGCAAATTCCCTTCCTAATCCACCTCATTTTAGATTAGTCAATACAAACACTGCCTCAATCAACAATCAGAGCAAAAACAATTTGCAGCTTTTGATGACCATTATTACCATGTGTCCACTGACTCCCCTACTGGACAGGGTCTGGGCAGCTGGGTCAGATGCAGCACTCAACACTAAAATAGAGTATATCCCTTTTCCACCAAACTCAATTGTTACCAATCTGTTCAATCTGAAACTAATTATCTGTTTTAAAAATGCAAAATTCTTCAAAGTATTGTACTCAATAATTCTCGACACAGTCCTAAAGGTTATGTAAACAGGTCAAGGCCAAACACTTGGGCATCTCCCTAATGTTTAAGATTATTTAACTCCACAAAGTGCTGGAAGAAGACCAAGCACGGAGTGAACAAGTGTATGGGCTGGTGTGCATGTACACACGTGAGCAAGACTAGGGAGGTGTGTGTGTGTGTGCGTGTGCGGGGAGAGGGGAGCGGGCGTGTGGCAAATGCAAAATGACCGCAAGTCTGGGTGAACAGGGGAAACGTGAAGATTCCAACTGGTTGGATAACTGAATACAATCCAGAACACGATTAAAGCAGCAACTTCTAATTGCAGCCACTTCTGGTCACTTAACAAATGTGACACCGACGTGGTTCCAAATCCAATCTCTTCAGCAGTTAAAGACTAATGAAGAAAGATGTCAAATCTCCTACTCCTTCCTCTCAACGTACGTCATTGCTTATTTTCCATGTCCACATTCCCTCAATTCCCACTCCTCCATCCCAAAGCCATACTACACTGCTCTGACAAAAATTCAACACCTATAGCAAAACAGTGAGGACAATTTTAAAAATTAAACCACAAAAGGTGCAATACTTAGAACAGCATTAACAATTTTTTTCATATAGCTTCCTAAACAAGTAAATGATTTTCTCACTAATCTTCACCCAAGTGGGTTTAAAACGAGGGGGAAAAAGAAGGAAAACACACTTTTTAAATCTGAAAAACGTGTAAGTAAACGTTTATAATCTTTCATATAGTGATCGACCAGTGAACAAAGGTACTGTCCCTCTTCTTTGTGTTGAGCAATTATCTAATAATTGGGACCCAGTACCAGCCTGTGCAGCAGCAGGACTGTGAACAGTCTGCTACCCATTGAGGTGCGCATTGTCTGACTCAGCAAGTGTGTAAACATGTGTGCAAGTATAAAGGGTGTGTGTCAGTCCCCAGTGTCTTTGTACACACAATTCAACTGATCAAGTGATTAATTTCAGTGTAGCCTCACACAATCAACAAGGTCACCAGTAGGCTAGGTCAATGATAAAGTTACTAATGGAGCAATTCACAGGAGACAGACGCACATACCCTTTCATAATATGCACCTGACTTTACCATTTTAAAGAAATCCACTTTCAACATCTTTGCTTTATATTTTAAATTGGACCTTTTGTTCGATGTTAGTCACACCAGATCTGTCTGGAGCCCTGTGTATCATGGCCCTTCACACAGATGCAGACATGTTCTTACATATGGTGTAAACAATATGTTAAAGCTACTCCTACAAATTCTGGTATAATCTTACCCAACAGTTTTATAGAAAAAAAATGCTTGCATACTTTAGATCAGCAAGTATACCAGAATGGCCACAAACTGGCTATTACAGATGGACTTTAATAACAGAAACAAAATGATGATTTCACTGAAAGGAATGAGTTACATGCAGCAAGGGTCATTATAAGCTGTAAAGCAAGGTCGTTCCCAGAGCTTCCTTTGACTCCAAAATCCCTGTGCAGTTACAGAGAAGCTCTTTTTAAAGAGTGGAGATGCCAGAGACTGGGATGTAAACAGCTGGCTGTAAACCAGTATTGCAGACTTGCGCCAGTGAGAGTTTGTGGGAAGCTACAAGCCATTTTGTGAAAGTGTCAATTTACAGGCAGTACAGGTGAACGTAGGAAGGCTCAAGCCAGCCAAGCCAACTGGATAGCTACATCTCAAAAATTTAAAAAACACAAAAACATATACAAAAAGGAGGGAGGACTATATCCATAGGAGTTATTTTTATTACATTACGGCAACACCTTCATTGGATTAGCTAAGTGTTTTGAATACCTCAAGGGGGTGCAGGTGGGGAAACGACTGGCCCACCATGAACACCCAGTTTACAAAATGATAAAGCTTGTTACAGTACACAATGTAAGTCCCCCCCAACACTTTGGAACTGAGTGCAACATGTAAATTTAACTTGAAAACTTTTACACTAATTTTTCTAACCTACTTTAAGTGCTTATGTCATTTGAGTGTAGCAGTTTGAGGGCAGCACATTGCCCACTTAAGGAAAGAAGAATACTATTGCGATGCTAAATAATAGCGTGTGATAAAATATTGACAGCACAAGATCAGTTAGCTGCAGTGATAGTGATGAGATGAAACCATCAAGTGTGGCAACATCATCACTGCATGTTTTAGGGTTGTGCTGTGATATAACAGGATGTGTTAAAATTTACTATTGAAAAATACAATAAGCAGACCTTGAATAGAGCGCAAAATAAGTAGCACTGCAGTGAAGGGCTGGGAGCATCTTCATTATAAGCTGAAATTAGTTAAGACAACTTATGGATGAGGGAGGCAATGAAGGAGAGAAGTAGAACAGTATCGCTTTGCAGTAAAGACAGCAAATTTCAGTGGAGCGATAACACAAATTCAGCCCAAAGCCTTAAACTGAAGAGAAGCAGCTCTGATGTAAATACAGCTCTCCGCTCATCTACTGGAAGATAGACTTAATGCTGAAAAGCTTTTTCTCCCCCCCCCACCCCTACTGAAGACATTGTCTTGAGGTGTTGCTTTAGCAGCCCTCTGTTATCTCTCCCAAACAGCTACTATTCATCCAGGACCCTAGATATTGTGTGTTGGCAGGATATTCAACCACAGTGGGCATTTCAATTGAGCCCAACCCTGCCTCCACCCAACAGCTAGTATGTACAAACCCCTGACAAGGGTTATTGGATAGCAATCACAACTGGGAACCTTGGACAAATTTCTTTACCATCCCTCCTGCCAAGCTTTGAGAAGGGAGGTGGGGTTAGGAGTGGGATAGGGATATTAAGATCAATAGTAACCCTTACACCACTGCTGCCTTTTATGGCCAAGATAAAATAAATTAGCACAGGTCAGAAATCAAACCTGAACCACACTCTGGTCTATGAAATTTAGTATTACCTCTAGTTGTGCCTTAATGTATTAGGAAGCAGTTGGAGTATTTTGTGCTAAGATTCCTCTTCCGCCACATGAAGCGTGACGTTGATACATACAATGCCTAGTGAAAGGCAGGTGCATATGGTGTTTTAAGGGTACATGGCTGGTACTGGTGCATAATAATCTCCTATAACATGTACATAAGCAACCACTAGGTTCAGTATCTGTCCTGGTCAATCACTAGCTTTAATACGTGAGGTTCTGTCGCGTCTCCGCTATTGCGTGTTAAGGACGGAAACGTGCCCAGTGCAAAAAAAAAAGTTTTTAAAAAGCCTGTTGTGTATTCAGTAAATGTCCTGTTGCAACAACTTCTCAATACGGAGGGGGGGAAAAGAATCATGTAAGGAAAAACTATACTACTATTTAAAAAAAAACTTATTTATTTTTGATGGTAAAGTGTACTTCACATTTTTAATGTTGGCGTTCATGATTCAAGTATTTCGAAGTGTGATATGTTTTTTGTTTTTTTTTTTGTTTTTTGTTTTTTTTGATTAAAAAAAAGTAGCCGAAAATTAGGAGGGAGGTGTCTATGTGCACAAAAGAGACTGTGGATGACCCCCTTAATTTGTTTCACTTTTTTCTTTTTTTCTCCTTTTTTTAAACTTGTTTTGAAACTTATTGCAGTTTGAAAAAAAACACATTAGTGCTGCTGTTCAAAAAAGTTCACGAGGTCACAGGTCAAAGGTTGAAAGCTTAGAAGTTCAAATTGAATCAGCCCCTCCGCCCAGGAGGTCACCAGGTAGTAGGGGGGCCGGACTGCCCATTCGGTGCGAATCATCAGAATTTGGGGCTCCCCACAAGCTTGCCGTGTAACTTGGGGTTGCCCAAAGTGAGGCTCCCGCCAGGTTCCCGCTACCTCTGCCCACTCCTCCGGCACTGTTCCACTGTCCCAGGCCAGACCGCCCACCAAACGAGTGAAGGCTGCTCCCGACTGGATCCATCTGGCTCTGTCCTGTCTCCAGTGTCTGCCAGCCTGGGGATGGTGTTGATAACTGACCTTGTGCAAAATAGCGGTTGACTTCCTCTTCACTGACAAACTCAGCAAGGATGGTAGTGTTCCCCAACACACACCTGAAAGAAAATACAAAATAAACTGAGGACAGAATTACTCTTGGCCTATAGAATTTGGGAACACTGGCTCCTTCCAGCCCCTCAAGCATGTAGCACCATTCATCAAGATCATGGCAGACTTGCAAAAAAGCATCAAATACTGTCTCCCCTCCACACTACCCCCGCCTCATGTCATTTTATTCTGTGTTTTTAAACTTCGATTCAGATATCACCTGGTGTCATCTTCCAGCATTTCCATTTACTATTTCTTCTTTTCCACTAATTTTTCGTAACTCTCCCCCTGGAAATAGGATTTTAATTCTGGTCAACAGCAACCTTTTAACGGGCAGACTCAAGAACTCAGTAGCTGTGAACCTTCACAAGCAGTTGAGACTTGGTCATCTCACTGAGAAGTAGCAAGATAAGGTCACTCAAACAAAGTTCGTGCTGAAAGTGACCGAGTGTTTTACGAGGTCTAAATAGTGCTGAATATTGCCTCGAGGACACTGGACTCCAAACAACAGGTATTGCCCAAAGCTGAAAGGCAACCATTCTGCTGTAAAGTGGGAATCAAGACATAACGCTGCAAGTACCACACACATTTTGTCACAGTCCAAAAGAAAAAAGTCAGGACTGTGTTTCAAACTCTGCTAGAAATCCACCCAAGCACAGCTTTAAGCTGCCTGTTTTTATTTCAAATGATGACTGATCTGAGGGGATTACCAGTATTTTCTCCATTCACTTCAGATTACCATATTGGTAGCTGTAAGAATTTTCTTTTTTTAAACAGTCCAGTTAATGGCTCTCACACAGTTTTGCTAATTTGGATAAAGGCGACGCTGGGAACATTCTGTTTTGTCAAAATGTTTTGTTTTTCTAAACAGACTATTTTGAAAGGAGGCCTGCTTTTAGCAGTTTGAGACTGTTCACATCTTCCCAACCAGAGAACAGGGTTAACAAAAACAAAGTTGCTGGAAAAGCCCAGCAGGTTGGCAGCATCTGTGAAGGAAAAAACAGAGTTAACGTTTCGGGTCCGGTGACCCTTACTCTGTTCTGAGGAAGCGTCACCAGACCCGAAACGTTAACTCTGTTTTTTCCTTCACAGATGCTGCCAGACCTGCTGAGCTTTTCCAGCAA